TAGTACTGAGCTTGTGTGCAGAGAAGAGCCACTTGAACAATGGTTTCAACTTCTTAATTTGGAATCATAAGTAGATTCCAATTGCTATCAACAATATCTCTCAGTCTGTCTTTGACTTCTATCTTTGTTTAGAACATCTACTTAAAACATATTTGAGTCATTTTTTAATTTTTTTTGTTATTAAATTGATAAACATGAATCAGGAAAAAAAAATCAAAATGGAATTAAAAAAATTTTCTACAAGTTGTAAGAAAAACAAAAATTAATTGTAGACCCAATTATAAACTTAAAACATATTTGAGTCATTTTTTTTGTTTAGAACATCTACTTAAAACATATTTGAGTCATTTTTTAATTTTTTTGTTATTAAATTGATAAACATGAATCAGGAAAAAAAAATCAAAATGGAATTAAAAAAAATTTCTACAAGTAAACAAAAATTAATTGTAAACTTTATTGGCTTTTGTAATAGTATAAATCACTGTTTTTAGTAAAATTAATTGTAGACCCAATTATAAGTGGGAAATTTATAGTAAATTATAATTTATAATTTATTGGCTTTTGTAAAGAGGAAATTTAGTAAATAAATTATGATTTTATCGGCTTTTGTAATTAATATAAATCACTGTTTTTAGAAAAAATCAAGGTCCAATGGGCCAAATTCCTTTATTAAAAAATCTAAACAATATGTAATTTAGACAAAACTGATTAATTTTGAGACTCGATATATCTTCCTTAGGAGTGAGTACTGAAAGAAAGGAAAACCCTAGAAAATAAGCAAAGGGAACTAACTCAAAGAGCGACAATTCTCCTCAACCTTGGAGACCATTTTGTGGATTGACGTGCAAGCTACGAGTAAGCAGCTTTAAACCCTAATAGTTTTTATCATTCTCTCTTTGGTTATTGATTGATTTGATTTGTTCTTTCTGGTCTTCTTCAATTCCAAGAAATCGATGGAGGAAGATCGACAGGGACCTTACTCTGTTCTATCAAGAGATGATTTTAAAGAGAAGATGAAGAAACAGATCGATGAGATCTCTGAGATCTTCTTGGTTTCGAAATCCGATGTGACCGTTCTCCTCATGTATCTCCGATGGGACTCACTTAGGGTTTCTGAGCGTTTAAGTGAGAACAAGGAGAAATTATTGTCTGAATCAGGTTTGAAACCACTTGTAATTGATCCTGAGTTCGATGCATCTGATTCATCTTGTGGGATTTGCTTCAAGACTTGTGATGAGATTGTTGATGATGATGGTTTAATCTCCACGATGTTTTGTTCTCACAAGTTCTGCAAAACTTGTTGGAGAGATTATCTCCAGAAGAATTTATTCTCTCTGGAGACAAACCAAACTTTAATCTCTTGTCCTGATCAAGACTGTCGGTCCGCGGTTGGACCAGACACGATCGAGAAGCTAACAGTAGAAGATAAAGAGATGTACGAGAAGTATGTTCTGAGATCATACATTGAGGAAAACAAGGTCTTGATGATCAAATCGTGTCCTGTATCGAGTTGCGATTACTTTATCGAGTTTCACGAAGATGAGACTGATGAGGAGCATAGTTTAAACGTTGTGTGTCTTTGTGGTCATACCTTTTGTTGGAGATGCAAGCTTGAATCACACAGACCAGTGACCTGCAACAACGCTTCTGATTGGTTGTCTACTGTCTTGACCTCAGATGAGTCACTGAGCCGTTCCAGGCCCAAAACCGACACGATGCTTTGTCCTAATTGCTTTTCTGCTGTGGACATGAGTGGTTCAAAGTATCTCCGGTTCCTGATTTGTACCTGCAGGTATGCAAATCACAAAGAAGAAACAGATACTCTGTTCAGTATTTGATCATTACACTAATTTGTATGTTTTCTTGATTCAGGTTTCGGTTCTGTTGGAAGTGTATGAGGTCAGAGGAATCTCACAAAAACGAAGCAGGGTTCTATAGAGCATGTCTTGTACCAGTGGCACCCACCAGGAGAGCAGATCTGGAGGTTTCGAGTGGGAATCGTTGGAAAGATTGTGAGATTTCAATGGAGAAAGCTAAATGTGATCTACAAGCTTTCGACATATACATCAACAAGGAACCTGGTGTTTTGAGAGGGCAAGACATTAGGATTGTTAGAGAAGGAATGATGCTGATTGTTCAATGCAGACAAGTCCTTAAATGGACCTGTGCGTACGACCATTTCCACACCGAGTATGAGATATCGAAGAAGGAGTATCTACGGTTCCTGCAAGATAATGCAACCACCACTCTTCAGAGCTACGTAAAGCAGTTACTAGATGAAACAAAAGAAGCTTCATATGCAGAGACTTATGAAGAGATTGGTAACTTCAGGGATAGGTTATCTACAGCGACAAGTAACATTGGTAACTACTTTTATCTTTTCATCAAGAATTTACAAGATGGTTTGGTCGACGTGAAGGTCAATTCCTACGATGGCTGCTTAGTTGGTCCTTACTGGTTCTGCGATCGCTGCACCTTTGGAAACACTTGGTTTGATAAGGAGTGTAAGATGTGTTGTGATCCTACTGCATCTACTTTGGAGGAGATAAGTGGTTTATCCCTTAACTAAGTTCCTTAAAGACAAACAAAAGATTTCAGAGACATGAGAGTTTTTACATTTCTTTTGCTATGTTGTTTTGTTATTTTCGTCAAGTTCTTGATCCTTTTTACATAAATACTGTCTCTTCCCTAACTTAACCCGACCTCGATTAGGAAACTTTACACCGCCTTGACGCTTTAAGGTTTGCCACCAATGCGTTTTCCTACCATGGCTTTGCAACTTCTTGTGCTTTTGTTTCTTTGAATGTCTTCTATGTCTCATCATCGCTTCGACAAGACCATGAAAATGCCCACCTTGTTGCTTATGTGTAGTTAGACCTTTCGAATCCGATTTCCTCCGTCTCTCATCTGATTTCTCTTTCCCTTTCTGTTGAAATGTCCTCTCCAAATGCTTCCAAGCCGATGGTTTACGGTCTTTCTCCTT